GACCTTGCTTTGTGCACTGGTGCACAGTCATGTTGGAAGAGGAAGGGGCCAGCTCCAAACTGTTCCCACAAAGTTGGGAGCATGGAATTGTCCAAAATGTCTTGGTATGCTGAAGCATTCAGAGTTCCTTTCACTGGAACTAAGGGGCCAAGCCCAGCTCCTGAAAAACAACCCCACACCATAATCCCCCCTCCACCAAACTTTACACTTGGCACAATGCAGTCAGACAAGTACCGTTCTCCTGGCAACCGCCAAACCCAGACCCGTCCATCAGATTGCCAGATGGAGAAGCGCGATTCGTCACTCCAGAGAACGCGTCTCCACTGCTCTAGAGTCCAGTGGCGGCGTGCTTTACACCACCGCATCCGACGCTTTGCATTGCACTTGGTGATGTATGGCTTGGATGCAGCTGCTCGACCATGGAAACCCATTCCATGAAGCTCTCTGCGCACTGTTCTTGAGCTAATCTGAAGGCCACATGAAGTTTGGAGGTCTGTAGTGATTGACTCTGCAGAAAGTTGGCGACCTCTTCGCACTATGCGCGTCAGCATCCGCTGACCCCGCTCCGTCAGTTTACGTGGCCTACCACTTCGTGGCTGAGTTGCTGTCGTTCCCAAACACTTCCATTTTCTTATAATACAGCTGACAGTTGACTGTGGAATATTTAGGAGCGAGGAAATTTCACGACTGGATTTGTTGCACAGGTGGCATCCTATCACAGTTCCACGCTGGAATTCACTGAGCTCCTGAGAGCGACCCATTCTTTCACAAATGTTTGTAAAAACAGTCTGCATGCCTAGGTGCTTGAATTTATACACCTGTGGCCATGGAAGTGATTGGAACACCTGATTCCAATAATTTGGATGGGTGAGCAAATACTTTTGGCAATATAGTGTATATGAGTTTGTATGTAATGTATGAATATAATATACAAGTTTCACTTTTTAAATGGAATTACTGAAATCAATCTACTTTTTCATGATATTCTAATTTTATGACCAGCACCTGTATTCTCCATCATGCTCAATTAGCTAACTGGACATCTCTGCACAAATTTACCCCAATAAATTAACCTTCTTTCAATTTGTCCTTTAGATGATAGTTTGTTTATTGGGTTAAAAATTTATAAAAATACTTCAAGTTCTTAAAATATCTAAAAGGCCATGATTCAAACTGCCATTAGAGGAGCTTCAGGAATCCTAAACCATGAAATTTTATCATGTCAATTGGAGGAATCCAGATGAAAACCATTGTTGTTTTAATGTTAGCTATGTATTTCTGTTGGCGAATGGACTGAAGAACTGTCATTTGACCCAACTACATCAATATGTGCTTCATTTCTCTCATCCCGGTGATGTTTTCCCACATATGTTTTAATTGTAATTGGTTATTTTTTTAGATATTTACCCGTGAAAATCCATTCTTCTAATTTATCGATGATGAAAATGCCCAGAGGAGCTCACAGTGTTGCAGTGGGTAGCACTGCTGCCTTGGAGGAAGAAGGTTCCAGGATCATTTGCTGGCCCGGGGTCTTTCTGCATGGAGTTTGCATGTTCTCCCTGCGCATGCATATGTAGGTCTCCTCCGGGTACTCCGGCTTCCTTCCACAGTCCAAAAACATGACTGTTAGGTTAATTGGCTTCTCTAAATTCTCCTTAGGTTGGAGTGTGCATGAATGGTTGTTTGTCCTGTTTGTCTCTGTGTTGCAATGGACTGGCGACCTGTCCAGGGTGTTACCTGCCTCTCGCTCATTGACAGCTACCATTACCCCTCGTGACCCCATCAGGGAAAAGCGTGATGGAGAATGGATGGATAGATGCAAAATGCCATTATATAAATGATATGTTTAGGAGTTACCATAAATTCAAGTGTAACATTTAAGACAAGCCATATAATTTTTTCCAGTATTTTCTGAAAAAGTTATGTACAATATTCATAAAAAGCTGAATAGAAGAAAAAACAGTAGCAAATGTCCTAATTACCCAACAACAGGGTTACAGTAACGATTACCATCAAACAAAGTCCATTCAAGAGTTTGGACAAATAAACAAGCTCTTTATATATATACGCTATAAATGTTGCATTCCTTCAGTAAAGCCACTCCTGAAACAGAAGTAGGTAGCGTCTTATCTTGGCGAAAGATAAAGGGAGCTGTACTTTTCCTAAGTGGTTTGAAGAGATCTTAAAGTGAAGCGCCATCTTCGGTGTTGGTCTACTGGATTTTCTAAATTCTACATTCAACACAGCAAATCTCCCAGGAGATGTTAAAAAACTTCATATTTATTTCTACTTACAAACTTTAAGGAGATGCTGCTTTCATTTTCCAGTGGCGCTTGGCTTCTGCCCACACAACCAAAGGTAAAAACAGCAGGTTCAATGACCCTGGTGTCACTTTGCTTGATTGGCCTGATTAACAACCCCAAAGAGAGTCTTTTATCAGGACATGGAATTTGTTGATTAAATATTACCATTTGTATTTATAGATCATTTCAATATTTTAATTTTGTGATAGACAGAACTTGGCGTCATAATCTGTAAGCATTTAACTGCCAAGAAGTAAATGCGTGCGACATTTCACTATGTGTAAACAATTTATTAAATATTTGGAAAAGTAACTATGTTAGTTTTTTTTTTTTTATCCAATGGTTGACAAATGCCATCAGTTTAACTTATTGCAGATAAAAGCCTATTGATCTTATTGCGATAAAAAAAATCCAACACATGATTATATTTATTAAGATATCCGGGCTTCTTTTCTTAATTTGAGCTTAATGCAAATGAAAACTTAAAAACTATGCAGAAATTCCATTGCCTCTTTAAATATGTGTTTGGATTAATTTACTAGGGTGTAAAGAAAATTTAGACTCATTTCTTAAATGATTTTTCTATTAAAGAATGTTCTACATGCCGAAAAAACGAACTAATATAAACTCTAAGCACTAGTAGCGATAATGGAGGATCTGTTTTAAATGTACAGCTAGTTTCCTAAGGGTTCATGCTTGCGTTTGGTTACAGCTGTAAGGAAGAACGTATCTAATGATGTTTTCTTCCTAGTCCAACTCAAACAGAGTTAGTTGATAAGTTTACTTCAACCAGAACAGAATTAGAAGTAAAGAAGCCTGCATGTTTATTTTATTTCTGTTATTACAGTATATAGTAATAAGAGAATCTAAACATTTACTATGCCATCTGTATCATTTAAATTGTCATATTAACTTTCATTATTAAAAGTGTGGTTTCCCCCTTCCTAGAGTCCTTTACTGCATTAGAATACCCATAATTCATTGTTTAGGTCTTCATCCAGCACAAGGACATATTATTCAAGGCCTGACAGGTGGTCCTGCATGAATTTAGTGGTATGATTCCCAGTGGGACCACCTGCATAACACATGATCCCACTCATTAGTCTGGAAGGTGCTTGAGAGAAAAGGTTAAAGCCAATGGCTGTACGCAAAGCGTAGCGGAAGCCAGGAAAGCCGAGCATAGCATTCTCTGCAGTGTGGAAGAACACTGATACCTCCCCTGGGTGGTGAGAGGGTACTCCTCCTCGAGTACGCTTCCTCAAACATGTCAGCTCTCTCAGTGAGCTTTCAGAGCTACATAGCTACTCTGAGGTTACATGAAGACATTATATTATCACGAAATAAAGAAGCTAATGTCAGGTTAAATTCTTTTTTCCTAGTTGTTAAAAGTTGTTCTCGTTCTCATTACATTTCAAATGTGATCTTAATTTATCAATTTCTAATTTTCACTAATGTGGGGTTTATCTTAAATCTGCTGGTTTCTCATTAAAGTTCTATATTTTATATTATCGTCTAGAACAGGGGTCTTCAACATTTTCCAGGCCAAGGACCCCTAAACTGATGGCGAGATGGAGTGGGGACCCCCTAATTATATATATAGCATGAAATTATGTTATATCAAACTGGTCCTATAGTCACTCATGGAGTAATATAACAAAAGTAATTTCTCCCTGGGATTATTAAAGTATTTCTGATTCTGATTCCTGGTTGATGGGACAGGTGTTATGAATGAAACAGTGCCTAGTTTGAAAGAGCTCCTGTGTGTCGCTGAATGTGTGCATTGATGACTGAAAGACGTCTTCTGCCTCCATTTATGTGTGTACTACAGTGTGTTGAATTCATGTTAATGTGGATTTAAAGACATTTCAATTAGTGGAGAAAATTGCAGGGGGAAATATAAAATAAAAGTTGAATCAACCAAAACTTTCACGACATGCAGTGGCTCCGTGGACCCCCTAGGGGTCACGGACCCCCTGTTGAAGACCTCCGGTCTCGAAGTATTGCCAATATTAAAAACTTTGTTATATATATATATATATATATATATATAAAATTTTTTATATAAAAATAAATACAACTGTACACTGTAAATCCTGTTCACAATGTGGCAATAATAATAATAATAATTGTCTTGATGCCAAAAAAGAGTCCAACAGTTTTTACTTTCACAAGTGGAGCAGTAGGGCTATCGCCATAGTGTTCTGTTCATGCAGGGAATATACACAGATTTTATGGACATTGCAATGTAAGTAGAACATGAAAGGGCAAAAAAAGGGAGAAAAGATGAATGAAAGAGGAGATAAAAGGGGAGATAACGATTAAAACATCTTCAGTCTGCTTCATCACCTGCAAAGAGATGTAAAAAGAACAGCACAACCAACGAATATAGTATAAGAGATACAATAATGTAACACCTTGATACTATCGCTGAAGTATTATTTAATATGGCATGTATATTGTGGGATAAGAACGTGGCTAAGAATATTAACAAGTAATTTCACTTGTTAAGGTGAGCCTGAAAAGTCACCGCCTATTTATAAACTCTTTGGAGCACAGTTGGTCAAAGCCATTGACGCAAAGTGCCAGAATCTATCAGGGATTGGTCCAGATTCCTGTCAACATATATCAGTCAAACTGAGTGACCAATCAGAATTGATATTTGAGTCTTCATCCCGCCCCTTTGCTCGCTGACGCAGAGGGTCATGTGTTGTTTGTGCTGTGGCCCGTAGAGATGTGTACAGGAGTAGAAGAGAACGGATTGCTAACCGAGCTAGCTGGATCCTCCCAGTTACAGAAGCAAAGCTGAGCGCGGTCATGTTTCACACGGTGGGATTTATTTCGTGATAAAAGCCCACGGTGGACTGGATCCGTCGCCGCTAGGAGACAGGGGGACTATTTTTCTTCGGGCGGAGTAACAAAGCCGGTGTGTGTGTGTGTTGGAGGGGGGATTGCAAATCTGAGCCGTACGAGTCACCGTTAGCTGGCCTAGCCGGACTCGGGAGCTTCGTCTCCCAAAACAAGAATGGGGTCTGAGTCGACTCGGATTAGCCTGCTACTAAAGTGACCTTTGATTGTGTTCCCCCGATGGCTAACTTAACGAATTACCAGGAGGGAAAGGCGGCCCTGCTGCTGGTGGAGGCTCAGCAGAGGGACGTTGGGGCCGCCAACACTAACGGTTTAGTCGGGGAACCCCCTTCCCCGTTAATCAATATAGCAGGAGGAGGTTCTCGTTTTCTGCAACATTTACCTCCCTCCAACCACCTCCACCACCACCAAAACATCAGCACCGACTCGCCAAAGGATCAACATCAGCATCATCACTACCAGCTGGCTCCACAGCAGCATCTTTCCGAGTCCCCGGGAAGAAAAGCCTCCCCCTCCTCTATCAGCCAGGTACACACGGCCGAGGACCCCGCCGCTAGCAGCAGCACCAGCAGCAGCGGCCATGTCTACGCCGCTGTGACCGTCACCAACAGCTCGGAAGCCGTAGACGACATCCGAAAGTGCGGCTATTTGAGAAAGCAGAAGCACGGACACAAGCGCTTCTTCGTGCTGCGGGCCGCCAGCCACCTGGGGCCGAGTCGTCTGGAGTACTACGACAGCGAGAAGAAGTTCAGGAGCAGCCTGCGCACCGCGGCGGCCGCCAGCGGGGGAGTGGTGGCCGCTTCTCCCCCAAAGAGGGTTATTTACCTCTACCAGTGCTTCACGGTGAACAAGAGGGCGGACTCTAAAAACAAGCACCTCATCGCCCTGTACACTAAGGACGAATATTTTGCTATAGTGGCAGAAAACGAGGCGGAGCAGGAGGACTGGTACGTGGCCATCAGTGAGTTGATGAGCGAGGGGAAGAGGGGCCACCTGGACTCGGATGACTTGGATGATGGATATGGGACAGTCAGTCCTGGGACTGTGTTTAAAGAGGTTTGGCAGGTTAACGTAAAGCCCAAAGGACTGGGTCAAACTAAAAACCTCACTGGTGTTTACCGCCTATGCCTGTCTACTAAAACCATTCACCTCGTTAAGCTGAACTCTGAAACCCCCTGCGTTAACCTCCAGCTGATGAACATCAGGCGCTGCGGACACTCTGAGAGCTTCTTCTTCATAGAGGTCGGCCGCTCGTCCTCCATCGGCCCTGGCGAAATATGGATGCAGGTGGATGATTCGGTGGTGGCCCAGAACATGCACGAGACCATCCTGGAAACCATGAAAGCCCTGAAGGCCTTTGCAGAGTTCAGGCCGAGGAGCAAGAGCCAGTCTTCGGGCTCCAACCCCATGTCGTTCATCACAACCCGGCGCCTCCTGGGTAACCTGCCTCCGAGTCAGACAGGGCTGCAGCGGCGCTCCAGGACGGAGTCTGTGGTCGGCACGCCGCCCTCGAGTAAAAGTTCCGGGGCGAGTGGCTACCGCTTCCGGACTTCCAGTGAAGGCGAGGGGACGATGAATCGGCCATTCCGCTCCGCCACTGGGAGCCTGGTCCACCTCAATGCGTCCCGTGGTCCTCACGGTCGCCAAGACGGGGGCGGGAGCGGAGGCAGCTGGAGCGGCGTGGCCACGGGGAATGCCGGCACTAGCACCAACAGCAACCGCTACGTTCGGGCTATCCCGTCCACCTGTCACGCCCGCTCGGCGTCGCTTCCTGTCTCCCACTTCCCCTCAACCACCAGCCCGGTCAGCGTCTCCTCCAGCAGTGGCCACGGTTCTGTGTCCGATACCCTCACCCGGCCATCGAGTGCGTCCATATGCGGCTCCCCTTCTGACGGCGGCTTTAACTCCTCGGATGAGTACGGCTCCAGCCCCGGTGACTTCCGGTATTTCCGGGTTCGAAGCAACACGCCCGACTCTTTGGGAAACACCCCGCCAATAAGAGAGGAGAACTGCCTTAATGATTACATGGCCATGGGCTGGAACCGGGAAGTTTTTGGCACCAGTGTTAGTTCTGGAAACAACAGCGGATGCGAGACGCCACGTGAAGAAAGCACCTTAACGGCAGAGGATGAGCGTTATTCTTCCTCGTCCCTGAGAAGGAGGACGCACTCTTTCTCCAGAGCCGCTGCCGGCGCCACCGGAGCTTCTGGCATTGCCACCTATCAGAAAATGACCCAGACCAACCTCTCACTGGATGAGGGGTCAGATGTAGTGTTGCCGTTCGGGAGCGGGCTGCTCCATGGCGGGCCGTCCTCCTCCTCTTCCTCGCTTCGCTCTGACTACAGTTCCTGCTCCGAGCACAGCCAACAGAGCCGCCCCTCCACGCTTTCTAGGACGGAAGCCGGAGCCGAACGCCCTCCGCTCTCGTCCTCCTCTTCTGCCAAGGAAGATGGCGGCTATATGCCCATGATGTGTGGCGTGGCTGCGTCGCCGCGGGACACTCCTCCTGACTACATGCCTATGCAACCCTCCTCTTATTCCTATCAGATCTCCAACTCTCCCCAGTTCCACAGCCCAGCTTTAGGGACGCGTTCCAACCACCACCACCCGCAGCTCCAATCCCAATCTTCCACAGACTCTCATGGTTACATGATGATGCTCCCAGGAGGCGGCGGTACATCTCCTTCCTCTCTGCAGGCCTCCCCTAGTAGTTCTGCCGGCGTCGGCGGAAGCAGCAGCATAGCTGAGAAACCCGAAAATGGAGAATATATGGACATGTCCTACAGCGGCGGTGGTTGCAAGCTCCCCAGTGAAGACACCACAGTGTATTACACGCCAGGGACACCTGAGGGGGCTCTCAAGTCTTACAGCCCGTATTTCTCCCTGCCGCGCTCTTATAAGGCTCCCAGCAGAGAGAGGGGCGAGAAAGAAGACGGGGAATATGTACCGATGAGTTCTCCTGCCAAACCAGTATATTCGGCATTTGCAAATGCTTCAGGACCAGAAAAAAGAATAGGAGGCGGGGGTGGCACCTCCACTCCCTCCCACCCGCCTCCCCCCTACGGTGCTCACCATACGACTGCAGCAATGGCCGACCGATGGGTCACCAGGCCCACTCGCCTTCCGTTGGGTAGGAGGAGTTTCCATGGTCCGCTGCGGGTCAGCGAGCCCTCCACGGCGCCCGCTGGTGTACCTAGCTCGGTCTCGGTGCCCGGCCTCCCCCATGGGGGGCACTCAAGTCCCGGAGAATATATCAATATAGAGTTGGGTGAACACTTCCCTCACCAGCAGCAGCCCCCGCCCTATCCGCTGTCAGCTCAAGACGCCGCCCCCTCTCTGTTACCCGGCGAAGCTCGGTGCTCCCCTCCCCAGGCCCAGGACTACATGAGCGTCGAGGTCGGGACAGACCAGCACGATGCCGCTGGGTGTAAGAACCAGTCGCCCAGACCCAGCCTGGTGGCTCCTTGGAACCCGCCCAGCTACATCCGACCTCTGGTTAGCAACTCTGGGGTCACCGGTTCAGGGGGTCACTGGAGGTCAGTCGGAGACGATTACACAGAGATGTCGTTTAACCTCAGCAGAGGTGAGAGGACTCAAAGCCCCACAGCAATGCTGCAGCACCTCTGCATCATAGAGGGATGCTACGGTCATCCCGCCTCTGCCTCCTCATCCTCCTCCCCTCCTCATCCTCCATTAACCCAGCAGCCGGAGCCAAAGGTGGTGCGAGCAGACCCCCAAGGCAGGAGGAGACACAGCTCGGAGACGTTCTCCTCCAGCTCCTCCAATTCCACCCCCTCATCCTCAGCCACGCATCCCTCTCTGTCTCACCTCTCAGCCCCCAACACTAACGGATCCCACCCGTCGGAAGAACAGACATCCAGATGGGCCAGCTCGGCATCCTTCGACAGCGCATGGATGTCTGTGGACAACAGCGCCGATCCGTCGGCTCACCAAGCCCAGCCGAGAAACACAGAAGCGGACCTCCCTGCATCGGCCTCCTCAGGGTCCAGCGCTGGTAGAATGTGCAGGAACATGTCTGCCGGCTACCAGAACGGCCTCAACTACATCGCCTTGGAGCTGAGGGACGACGGGGGAGCGACGGCGCCGGGGGCCAGTAGCAGCAGCGGGGGCGTGGCGGCGGCGGCGCCAGCGGGGATGGTACCTCTGCCCGAGAACGGAGCCTACGCCAGCATAGACTTCACCAAATCGGATGGAGTCACCACGACAACCAAGGGTGAGTTTGACTCTTTGTCTCTGCCATCTTTGCCAAATGTTTACATTTCTGTCATCAGCCACAGTTTGGAGTTTCCTTTTTTTTAAAGGACGTACAAATACAGTGAGTAAAAAGAAAAAAATGGCTGTAGTTCCAAAATAACTGTGCTATTTTTAGCCGGTTTACATCAATTTGCAGATCTTCAAAGTGCATGTTCTATTCTGACTCAAGTGTGTGAGATCTTGTTTTTATGGCACTTGAAGCAGCCAGCTGTTGTCTTTGAAGGCTTCTGTCTGGGGAGCTGAGGTCTAGTCTGTAGCAACGGCGTTACAAGAAGTGCGGTTCATCTTTTAGGCCCTTTTTTATTTTATTTTTGTGCTGTGTTCCAACAGACTGGTAGACGGCTTATTTTCTGAATGAACCAAAGTTTATCTTGGGTCGGCTGTGGACTGAGTGGCCCTTTAAAAAAGGCCCTAGCTGGCGGCGCCTCTCAATCTACAGATTCATGTCAAAAATCCCGAACTATCCCTTTAAGTTGACCTTCATGTTATGTTACAGTTTGATTAGCTTAAACTGAGATGAAACATCGATTTAAAGCTCAATATGAGCAGAATGTGACTGGATAGCAGTTGCATTTGTGTTTTCTTGATTTGCTGTTTTTATATGGTATATAAATGCGTTTTTTACAGGTTTACAGTTTGTATAAAAAGTATTTTGGTGTGTAAAGAGTGAGGCAGTGGCATTCTCCTCCCACCTGTTTATGTTAACTGCTGCTTAGCTTGTTAAAAACAAGGTTGCAACATTTTTACCTTTTATAAAACAACACTGGGCTCATTGCCTGTGATGATAGCCCAGTAATTTACTGCTGCTAGTAAATTTAGTGGTAATTAAGGTTTGTTTATGAAGGTGACAATGAATGTTACAGCATTGCAGTTAAAACAATTAAGAGGAATATTTTAGTTTCATTTCTTTATTTATTCCGTTTAAATATTGTGAAAACTTTGAATATGTAATCGTCATCTTACCTAATTTTTTTTTTCAGGTCTAAATATAGAAAAGGCGTAAGCGTTCCTCCTTAATTAATGAAAATAATTGGGGTTGTTCCACATTATTTTCTGTCCAAAGTCTGGTTCGACCTCCTATGATAACCTGTTCATCTTGTCAGAAACTAGTTGTGCCATTTTGCTTTAAAAGAAAGTCTACAAATTACTTTTAATATTTTCAAATTTGTCAATTTTAATGTGATTGAAGTTTGAAATTGACTAACTTTTGATCTAGTTTTTTTATAACATGATTAAAAAGATGACTGACTGTATTTATAATAAAACAAACATTTTAAATGCTGTTTAATTGCCTTTATATAAACGAATTAAGCAACAGTTATTAATATTACCCTCAAAATAAACTTAATATCCAGAATTGCTTTCATAAACACGTCTTTTTTCATATGTTTTTTAGATTAATATAGGCTCAATTACACGCTTCAGCCAGCTGAACAGCTGGCAATGCAACTCTGATCACTTTCTTTGGTATTTTGTTTAACTTATTTAGTATTTTGTTTGTTCAGTTTTACTGGATTTCAACCGTTGTTTCCCAAAGAACAATGTTTGCAATGCTTTAAAAGATGCCGTGTTCATGTCCAGAAGACGTCTCGCTTTATTAGGACTGTTAATCATCTCAGCGTTTTGTATCTTACAATATAAAAAAGCTGTAACCAGCTTTTAATGTCTTTTCTTTTTGGTTGTCTGTCTGGAAGAGTCCTTTCTTTTCTTGGATTTAGTCCTAGGAACATATGTTGCATACCTGAAGCGGGAGTCGGGTGCACGCTCATATGACCCGTGGTCTAGAAATAAGAAACATCCTTGTGTTTCGTGTGTAAATCACTCACTCCTGTTTGTCAGCACGTCTGTTTGCAGCCGCGGTAATTATTGAGGCCCCCTAATTGGACGACTTCAGTCATAACACACTCATCTGTAGAGCTTTTATTTTCTAACCTGGTGTGAACCCAACACTTTGTGAATAATCACATTTTCTATTGATATGAGGCATGTTTTCGTTATGCAGTGTATTACAGAAGTGTTTGTACTTGAACATTTCTGTCATGTGAAAGTAGTCTTGGTTTTATAAGGTTTTCATGACAAGGTTTATAATTTAAGAACAGAGAAAATAGGAATTTGAATTTCCATCAGATGATGCAAAGGGGCTGTAATAAACAGGAAGCAGAGGTAGCAAACTGGGACGTTGTACGGATTGTTAATGGAGCAAGGTTTCAATTAATCTATTACCATCGCACTAGTTGTACATAGCTTGACTAGTAGACTAGTATTTGCCATGTTGGAAATCATCTAGAGACAACACAAGAAAAGTATGATTGCAGCAGAAATAATGGATCAGCCATGGGCTAAATGTTCTCCACATCAGAGCTTATTTGACAAGTGTTTCGATCTTCTTTTAAACGTAATTACCGTATTTTCTGGACTAAAGGCTGCTACTTTTTTCACAAGCTTTGAACCATGCGGCTAATAAGAAGGTGCTGCTTTCCTGTGGATTTTTCCTAACCCATCAGAGGGGAAAGTCAAAGCTTGAAATGAAAGAATGAGGGGCTAATTTTCATTTAGCTCAACATGCTAGCAGCAGGCGTGACAGAGAACAAATGTCCCGAATTCACACATTTTGACATTTATTTAACCGGATTAATGCTGCTAAATCAATGAAGAGATTAGGTTAAACTCCTGCAGAGCTGAAATAAAGAGCCGACAAAGCCCAATCTTTCAGTAGAAGCTCTTACTGCTGCGAGCTAGCATGCTTCTTCGTCCCTACTCCAGGGGCGATGTGTAGAGCGCCCCCTACAGGTGCGGTGGGAGACAGTTCAATAGATATCAGCAGCTTATAGCCCAGTGCAGCTTGTATGTGTACATTTCCAGTTTTTTCAAAAACTTTAGTGGCCAAGCCTTATTTTGAGGTGCACTCCATAGTCTGGAAACTACGGTACTTTTTTGTTGAAGAAATCAAAAGCTATCTCAAACATAGTTCCATCAACTTTTCTAATGCGATGCTTCAAAATACATACAACAGTGGAAACGCATCTAGTGACACAAAGCTATTTATCTGCCAGCTTTGCAGTTTTTTTCTTCTTAAACATCTAAAGCTCAGTCAGATGGAGAGGATCTGTGAACATCAGTTTTTAGTTTTGCAAGAGTTTAAATAAAATTAGATTTTGTACTCATTCTTAAAATTTTAACCGACTGAAAAGCTTTATAATAACCGTTTTATTGATCTTTCTCTGCTTGTATCTTTATTGCTTTTTGTACCCCTCCTTCTGTCTGTTGAACCCCAGTCGGCCTCAGCAGATGGCCGCTCACACTGAGCCTGGTTCTGCTGGAGGTTTCTTCCTGTTAAAAGGGAGTTTTTCCTCTCCACTGTCGCTACAAGCATGCTTAGTGTGAGGGGTTACATTCAAGTCAATAAGTCGAGGCAATCAACTGGTTTTCCTTAGATAGAAAACTCTGAATCAGTTTGACTGGATGATCTGTAAAGTGCCCTGAGATGACATGTGTTGTGAATTGGCGCTATAGAAATAAGCTGAATTGAATTGGTTTTTTTCAAAAGTTTTATGAAGCCTAACCTCACAGACTGTTTAAATCTCCAAGCTTTTTTTTGCTTTTTTTTTTAAATATAAATGCAGACCAATTAGTTGATCCATGCTTGTTGGTTTCTGTAGGATCTTTTCACTTCCCGCTCATGAAGTATGGAGTCTGATGTGTGTACAGGCTGTTCCCCGCATCCAGGTCGATTTGCGTTTGTTTGCACGGAGTCAAGGCAGGCAGCCTTTTGATGTGGCGCCGTAATTACAGCTGCGGCGTGTTAAGACACACAGCGGCGCTGAGAGGAAACGCATCATCATCATTCAGGAATGCACTTCCTCTCAGCGGCAGAGTCGAACTCATTGAGACACACCTGGATTCTTGACCCAGAGGAGACTGGGAGGGAGGTGAAGGCTGGTTGTTTTTTTGTTTCTTCTATCCAGCTGGCAGAAGCTTTCTTCCTCAGTTTGGGAAATGTTGCTTGGAATGTATTAAAAAGGCACACATTTTCTGCTTTTATTTCATTTAAGGTTTAGCAACTAAAGCTGATGGCAATACTTAAAAAATAATTCAGGCTTAACTGTTGCAGTGGTTTAGAAAAGAAGTGATCACTTTGCATTTATTTTGCCTAATAACTTTTGCTAGAGTAATGATATATGACTGCAAATTAGAATTATTATTGCATTAGTTAGCAGGTTGTTATCTTTAACAACATCGTTAGCAATAGTACTCAGGTAGGTGTTTAAGTTAAAACCTCTCCACCAGCCTTAAATATTGCTTTGAGGGAAGATGGGTCCGGTGTGGGTACCAGATCTGCTTGGGGCCCTGCCCCTTCTTATGATGTAAGAATAATGTAAGTAATAATAAGTAATATGGCAACTCAACTCGGAAAAACTGTAATGCACCCGTTTCTTAAGGATCAAATTTCTTTTGGACTCACAACTTTTAATTACCTATATTTGCTATTATTTACCTTTTATGCAATCTAAAGTAGACCACGCCCCCCAGCGCAGAGGTTCTGCAACCGTCGTCGCACACCTAAAAAAAAAATCCTGTCTATGCATCGGACGGTCGCAGACCTCATGCGGAAGTGCGCAGACAGAAAGCAGCTGTGAATGGTCCTTGGTATGCCTTTCCAACTGTCTGTGTGGTTGTGCTTCTCGATTTGGTGCCTGGGCGCAGCATTTTTCAAAAACTGAGGACCAACTACAATGGACAACTACGACAAAAGGTTAATCGATCTTTTTGCCAACTCCGTTAACAGAACCTGTTCCTCTTCGATGTCAAACAACTCTAGATCCATCTCTGTGACTGATATCTTGCAGACGCGCCCATGTTGTTTTGGAAGATAAACACTCCTGCTAGCGCCGCCAAAGTTCTCGCGAGTTCTTGAATAGGCCCCCCAAGTCCCTAGAACTTCTAGGCCGATGGTGCAGA